TTGCCAGGGGTGCGGGGGGCGGGGGCGGGGCGTTGGCGGTACCTGGATGTAGGGCCTTCGAAGTTGGCTCTCTTCCTTCAAAATGTAAATCCGATCGCGCCCCTTTCTCCCCTACCTCGGCGCTAACCCCTTCTGAGTGCGGCACTCAAGACCCATTCAGCAGACTGGCCCAGCTCATGCTACTGCACCCACGCTGGCTGTACTCCTTGGAATGCCTTTCCTGCCTGGCAAAATCCAGCGTCCCCTCCTTCAGGAGGTCTTCTCTTGTGTCTGTCCAGTTCTGTCTTCCCCAGGCTTGGGCTCCTTGAGGTCCCAGCATCTTCCAGCACTGGACTGGCACAGAGGTGTGTGCCAGCAAACTGAGTGTTTAGCAAACTGAGTCAGGGCATCTGATATGCTCTTCCTGTCTGTATGATGGGAAAGGCCATCAGCCTGGCTACTATCAGGAATCAGATGCCTGATTTAACTTCTCAAGGCTCAGTATTCTCAACTGTAAGATGGGAGGAAAATGGGGCTGACATGAAGACTACACTGTGCCTCCCAAGAGTGCCTGGTAAACGTTAGATAAACGTGAGCATTAGGCAAACTTCCAGGCCTCTGGTTCCCCATATACACATGTCCCTTTGTGAAAATGTAATAAAATCAGAGGAACAGAAAGTGCCTGGTACAGAGCTGGGGGTACAGTTCATCTTCACTATGGAATGTCTGTGAATTAATGCTTCCTCCTTTCATGACAGCCCCAGGAAGTCAGGGACAGTGTCACCCTGAAGGTGGACCCTCCACAGGCCACACAACACTTTGGGAACTGGCCCAGGCAGGACTGACCTAGAGCCCAGACCCCACATCTGAGAAAACTGAGGCGTACAGGGGGTGTTGCTACCTGATGTGTAGCCCTAACCCTGCCCATCCATCTTGCCACCCATTTTGCTTCTCAAGTCTCTCTCAGACTCCCTGCCTTGCTGCCTCCAAGCCCAGTGTCTCCTTCAGGTGGCCCACACGCAGTGGCCCAGATATCTGCTGAGTGTCTCCCCAGGCCTGCTCTCCACGCCCGCCAGACTGGGGCTCAAACAACCCATATCTGGCCACTCATTCACTCAACAAACATTGAGCACCTACTGTGTGTCTGCCCTTGTACTGAACCCTGGGGATGCAGGCCACAAATAATCCCTGCCCCCAGGAGTCCCCAGTCTGGTAGGGGAGGCAGAGAGTGAACAGGAAACAATTAAATGAACAAGTTAATTTCACACACTGAAGTTGAAGAAGGAACTGCACAGGGGTAAGGCTGGCAAAGGACGACTTTAGCCAGGAGGCCTCTCTGAGGTGACACTGCAGCCAGCAGTGAGACATGGAGAAGGAAGAGGAGCCAGCCATGGAGAAAGAGCATCCCAGGCAGGGAGCACAGCTCATGCAAAGGCCCTGAAGCAGGACTGAGGGGAAGATGCCAGCAAGACTCACCATGTGGGCCTTGTGGGCTACAGGGACGAGTGCAGTTTTACTGCAGCAGCAACAGGGAGTCACGGAGGATGTGTGAGCAGCGGGAGGGTGTAATCTGGACTATGTTTGTAAACCGCCCCCCGCGATGTCTGCCATGAGGAACAGAAGCTGTTGGGGGCAGGAGTGGAGGCGGCAGGAGGCTAGTGAGGGGCTGTAACAGGGTCTGGGAGGGGAGGACACAGGCCTGGGTCAGGGTGGGGCTGTGGAGTAAAGTGGGTGGATTCTGGACTTATTCTGAGGCTAAAGAACAGGCTCTGCTGTGGGGTCATATCTGTAGAGGAGGATGAGAGAGGTCACCCACGATCCTCAGGTGTTTAGCCTGAGCCACATACAGGAAACAGAGCCTCCTGCATGGGAGGAATTCGAGGTCCCATAGGTCTGGGGACCCAAGTGGGGATGAAGCCACGGTCTCATGCACCATAGGCTAACATGCTGTGTCTACAAGCTCCCCCTACCATGTGTGCCGGGGACACTTCTGCACACAGTTAGTAAAGGAGCTGCCCATCATCCCCAGGCTGTGCTGCCTACATGCCTCCCACTATGCCCATTGTGTTGGCATCCCCAACAGCTGCTTCTCCCACGCCCATCTGGCCTCAGTTTCCTCCTCTGCAGAACAGGGCTACAGCTGGCAATCCAGAGGGCCTGTGGCCATGGCAAAGACCTCCCGCGAAAGGCTGGTTGATCAAGTGACCTCTGGTGCCAGCCCCTTGCCCACTAGATCAAGCCCCTCCCCTACTCACACACCCTCCATGGCTCCTCATTTTACAGCAAATTCACACTCCTGGGTAAATCCCTTTCCTAGAGCTCGAATCCTAACTCTGTGCCTCAGACTTTGCCTCTCTCTGCTTGTGCCAGTAACTGTGTAAATAGGAAAGCCCTAGGTGGACATACAGACCCCCATCTCCGACCCCACATTGGTAGAGCCACCCCAGCCCTTCCTACCTGCCCATGAGCTGTCCACGCCCCTCCAAGCCCCATACCTTATGTGGCTCCCAGTGCCCTCAGTAGAAAATCCAAATTCTTCCCGTCCTTGGTGTCCAAGGCCCCAGAGGGAACACGCCTCTGACAATGCTGTTCCTGCCTGGAACAGCCTCTTTGTTGTCCCCTTGGCCATATGGGCCCAACTCATGACCTTCTCTTCAAACTGCTCCCCCCCAACACCACAGGTAGAGCCCTCCCAGCTGCTTCCCATTTGTCTGTGCCACAAGCATTAATTGAGCACCTGATGTATAGCAGGCCCTGCCTGAGGCTATAGGATGACCAGGACAGATCCAGGTCAGGCTTTCAGGGGGCTCTCAAACCTTTGGATGAGAAAAACAACTCAATAATCACACAAGAAAACATGGAAATCACAACCATGATGGGGTCAGGATGAGGGAAATGGATGTGCATAATGGATGCAACTGGGGCTTGGGGGCCCTTATGGTGGGGTGGGCCAGGGGCGGGGAGGTTTAGTCATGAAAGGCTTCCTATCTGAGAGCTTGATGGAGACTTGACAAATGAATAAAGGAGTAAACAGAGAAAGCGGAGCTCTGGGCGGGGGGGGGGGGGGTGTGCTGGGCTGGGTGAGGGGCTGACTCTGGGCTCCAGGAAGACCCCTTCACCCAATGTTCTGGAAAACGCAAACCACAGGAAGGAACCCTGGCCGGTGGTCCCCAGGGGCTGGGGGGGGGGGGGGGGGGACAACAAGTGCAAAGGCCCTGAGGCTGGCCAGCTTATATTCTGGCAGTCCAGGAAGCCACACGGCTAGAATAGGGTGAGCACTGGAGAGGTGGATGGGAGAACACGGGGTGGGGGGGTGGTTCATCACGGGAGCTGGACACAGGGCCTTGGAGGCCGAGGGGACAAATGTAGGCTTATCCCCTTGGAGCAGGGGAGGCAGGTACCCATTTCCTTGCCTGGCCCAAGTCAACGGGGCTCTGCTGCCCCCTGGTGGCAAGCAAGGGGCCAGTGGACTCAGCTAGAATCCCAAATTCTCTGCCTCTATTTCCTCCTGGTAAAACTGGCTTATCTGCTCTCAACAGGTCCCTCCCCCCATCTTGTCCTCACCTGAGGTTAAGGCCAAGGACCCAGAGTCAGATCTGGCCTGAAACTCTCTCTCAGGGTGCCTCTGGACAACACACTCTGAGGTCCCAAGCCGAGTTTCTCCTCAGCTAAATGGGGACGACACAGTCTCTGCCTCCCGTTGGATACCCCAGCCTGGTCCAGGCCCCACCATCTCCCACCTAGATGTTGCCCTAGCCACTTCCTTGCCTCTGCCACCTCCATTCCTGTCCCCTGTCCCCAGCCAACCTTTCTTCCCCCAAGGTAGCCACAGGGGCTTTAAAAATCTTGGTCCTGTCTCAGGACCTTTGCATGTGCAGTACCCTCCGCTTGGTGCTTCCCTTCCCCTAGCTCTGCTCAGGCCTTGGCTCAAACACCACATTAAG